TAGACACTTGTCAACATTTATCTTCCTGGATGCCTCTGGTCACTCAGTATTTTAGAAGTTTCATTGGCCAAATACCAAGGGAGACCCCTTCCAAAGGGAGTACATGTGCACTCTTTCCAAAGTACACATGTATTACTTTTTTTTTCTTTCGTTTTTCTTTTTTCAAATTAAAGCAGTGACAGATTCTAAAACTACAAGGAGAGACCTTAGTCAGGAAAGATTTATTCACTTTTTTTTTTTACCAATTTCATTCATTTCATGGAAATGCCTACACACTTACAGTTTTCTCTGCCCTTTGCTGATGATGTAGCTGTCCTCGAGCTAATTTGCAATTCAAATGAAGAAAAAGCTACCTAAGAAAAGTAATTCATCCACAGTCAATCTCCACGGAGTTGGCCTAATAAATGCTCTCCCTCATGAGGCTACCAGCCTCCCTCTTTCATTTTACAGATGATTCGCAATGATGTGATGATATTGCAACCATTTTTTTTCATGTTTTCTGGGGCTCTGGGGGAAGGGGGGTTTCCTCTATACTTTAACAAAGGTAGCATGAAAAAATAAAGATGTACAAAATTCTTGAGGCTGAATGTACAGATAGAGTGAAGAACAACCCTATGTTTGCAGCTTCTTCTTACTGTATAATTGTTATAAATTGTCTATGCAGAGTATAATTGATCAAGCCTCATAATCCCATACTCCTCTAGCAAGTTTATCAATTTCTGATGAAGTTTGCAGTGAAAGACACATTGTTCCATGAAAAAATGTCTCTCTGAATCAAAACTGTACAAGGATTCACTAGCATAATTTTGATGACACTATTCTGTTGATTCTACATCAATTTTTTTCCATCTTTTCTCTCCACATCCTTAAAATTGGTCCTCCTTGTGGCATTTTTCCTGACCCATTGATATCCTTTCCCTCATCTCCCTGAGTGAGGTTATCTCATTTTGATTCTTCATATTCACTATAAAAAAATTCTCCTCCAACCTCAAGAAGAGAACGGTATAATCGAAAAAACATTTAGGATAGTAGAAAGAAGAGTTTGCCTCACATCCAGATGACACGTTCCAGAGATATAAATAGGGTTTAATTACATATGTGACATTTGTGAGTTTCAGTTTCCAAATCAACAAAATAGAAATGTGTATGTCTGTAACTTATCTGGTCTGAGTTCCTATTTGAGATCTGGCTAATTTCACTAAGCTTGAACATTTGAAATGATTCAATGAAACTCAGACACCATGAGTGCTGCCCATTGTTGATACAAATGAACAAAATTTATTTATTGACTGACCAAAATCACTAATTTAATCACTACATCTATAAATTGGCCATCAATTTTCCCAGGGGGAAATGATTCACACTGTACAATTACAAATCTGAAATAGAAATTGAGTTTCATCCCTATCGATTCATTTGTTTTGACAACTCTAACTGAGTTCCCTTGGTAAAGTCTCCACAAATTTACATCTCTCTCGCCATGACCTCTGAAATCTTCTAACTTGAATAAAAAGGAAAGAACCAAAAACCCGAAATGTCTTTTACATGCCAGTGCCTACATGGGCCTGTGGCTGTGATTGTGGAGCTGGCTTCACCTGCCAACTGATCCCTGCAGGAGGCTTCCTAACTGCTACTGAGCTCCTTGGGGAAACATGGTTTCCGGGTGTAAATTAATAATCATTTTCGGAGGATAGCACTCGATTTTTAACGATATCTAGTACACTACGTGCTATATTTCATGATAAACTAGTCCTGAAAAGGCAAATTTACAAAAAGAAAAAAAAACTTTTTTAGTTTGATGGTACACATGTAAACAAATCAATAATTATTGTGACCTACTTTTTCTAGAACACAAAATACCCGTATTTGTTTTTTAAGACAACTTGTTGAATTTAAAAGTATTTCAAACTAAGAACTATGTAGGACAGGTGTCTCTTAAATTCCGACTCTTTGGGATATATGCTGACTGCTGACATTTCCTTAGAAGATCTTAAGAGAGTCTTCAGTGAAACTCAAAATAGTAACATAAACATTAATATTAAAAAACTTCAGGTTTACAGATTCATCCCAAATGAGTTCTCAGTAATTTTTATAACCCACCGTTAGGGAGGTGATAATTCACTGGTGATAAAACTTTTTATTAATAAATTATTCAGCAGCCAGAGAGTGTAAAAACATCATTTGCATGGTAGCTGAGTATTTTGTTTTCTAATTACGAAGCCACTGGAAGGCTTGCTGCTCCAGGGCTGAGTGATTTCACCAGGTTTGTTCGGTGGCTCCCTATTGTTGCCCTTGCAGAGAACATTCCCACAGAGCTGGCTCAAAGACAATAAACATGGTAAGTAAAAAGAAATGACATAATATTCAGATTCAGCACTGATAAGGGGAGCTTTTCCCAGGGGCTGCGTGGGACAGCCGTGGGAGGGTCAGCTCTGTCTGCTGTCTGTGTTAGGTGCCTGGAAGGAAGTGTTCGTAAGGGAGGTTTACTGGGGCCTGGGGTAGGCTCCGCACAAAGAGCCCAGAAGTCGGTTGGTCCCTCCCTGCCTCTGTGAAAATCAATCCAAGGAAGTCTAATGCCATGGAGCCGTTTCCTGTCCACTGTGTGGGAAATTTAACTGAGTGCAAACGGCCGGCAACAATGGGACAATATATTATAATAAACAGGAAAAATAGCACTGGCCACGGAAATCAATGGCTGGAGTTCATGAAGCATTCATAAGATTGACAAGTGAATAAATTAAATCCAAAAGGTTAGGACACTGAAAGAGAAGTTAATTTTACGTCTGCCCCGGAGCTCCTTTTTTCAGACTCAAATTAAGACTGTGTATAATAAAATGAACATAAAGTCCTGGATGTACAAAAAAAGGCTTCATTAAGACCTACATCACCAGAAAACTAGAGATTCTTTTATAAATGTCCACTTGCATGTATAGTCGTTGCTCATGGTGCATTAATAACCCCCCTCGACAGCGTGACCAAAGACTTATTTAAACGAGTTTCTTGCTTTAAATAAACCTGCTCTCAGCAACCAACCGTTCATCCAGGAAGTGATGTGACACCCCAATACACTGAAGAAGTTTATTCAACCAGAACCGAATGGAGATGTGAGGAACTCAGCTATTTAATTTCAGGAACCCAAGGAAAAGCCACATGAGACTCCTCCAAACCCCCAGATAATTATAAACAACGGAACATAACTAACTCTAAAGCAGGCTTTAGTTAAATAAACAATAATCTATCCATTTCTATGCCATAGTAGCTTCCCTTTTTAAAGTTTTAAAATTTAATTTCTTTTTTTAATAATAAAATTACTTTAATTAGAATTCACCACTGAAACTTGGTTTTTCAATAAAGCATTTGACACATCAAATTCTTTCTCCTAATTGCTATTAAAGTTAGAGCTGTTGTTCAATAGACAAAGCAATAAATAGCTGAGGATTTTGAGACAATTAGTTCTTACCCAGGCTTTGCAACTAACTTTCACTCCATCACAGTTCCTTTGACAATTAAGCATGAATCTACTCCATAATTTATGAACATTTGTTTTAAGTGTTACAAAGCATGAAATGGTCTGGTGAGTGTTGTTAGCAATTCTACATAAACTAATATTTAGAAGCTGTATCTCATGTGCCTTGTAAGTCTTGTTTGGGCTTCAAAGATAGTGTCTCTTATTTTGGACTAAGACGATTTCTACCAAGGGGTGCTGATTTGGTCTAATATTTTGAAAAGTTATATGATTTAGTCTTAGGTAGAATTAATACAAGAATTTCTAGTCTCTTAAAAACAGTCTTCAGTACATTATCGTAGAAGGATAATACCGGCAGGTCAAACTGTTTTCACTCTAAGATAAAATGTCCACTCTGTTTTTAGGATTCAGTACAAAGGTTAAGAAATAACATTCTTAAATCTATTATTTTAAATGTGGTGACAACCTAGTTTTTTGTTCGTTTTGTTTTATTTTTTTAGGTTTGCCACAAAAGAGGGAAAACAAAGTCAAATTTATTTGTTTAATCCAAATTCATTCTTAAACATTCAGTTCAAAGGCTGATAAGAGAACTGAAGTCGCCAGCAGAGGGCGATATATAACAGCAGAAATAGTCCGCTTATTTGAAAGGTAAATCCTGTTAGTTCTACTAGACCGAAAAGAGAAAAATTACAGCTTTACATAAAGCAATTTCTGACCAAAGAAACAAAAATTCTATCATAAAAATATATGTTAAAAGCAGGAGGAGGATTTCAAGGCTTCCTGGCAAATCTGCTGGGTTTTGGTGATATTCCGCAGGAAGCCTACCCTTCACACTGGGGACTCCATTTTCTCCAAGCAGGCCAAAAATAGTAATTCACTTCTTCATCTCAGCTTTTTGTGTAATTTAGATTCGATCACACTGAGCAGCAAAAAAAATGTCCACGAGTATGTTCTGAAGAGAACCCAGAGTGCTTTCAATAAATGTTAACAAGCATTAGCAGGGGCCTGGTGCCAGAGGCCTCGCTGGCCAGCGTGAGCGGTGCCGCCTTTACCCTCCACACAGAGCTTCTGGCCTCACTACATCTTAGTCCCTGCAGAAGAGGGCAACGCTCTCTCCCTACCCCGCAGTGTGCATTCTTCCTCACCTCTCTCCTTCTTTCTTCCCTGTGTCTTAGGTTTCACATCTCCATTCCCATACCCGAAATCACTAGAATATTCTCAGTGGTAGGAAAAGTTTCCGAGGAAAAGCCCAGTCCTCAAACAGTATGTCTAGTTTGGTCCTCTGGGTCCTGTACATCTTTTAATAGAGTCATTGAAATTAAAAATAGAATGTTTTTGTTTGGAGCTCAGGCGTTGGCCCTCCTGTCTTTCCTCCTTCAATGTGTCCAAGGGCACATTTTCCTGGGTCCCCTCCCACACCAGCCCCACCCTTCCCTCAGCCTCTCTCTACCCCAAACACAATCAGGGCCACTCCCTTTTTCTCCTTCACATTCTTAAACCATGGAAGTGAATTAATAATCATAGTGGCCTACTGGGCACTGACCTTTCATACATTCCTTTGCAACCTATCCCCAGAACTCCCCTAGCTGCTTACTCTCCTGTTGCTATCTCATTTCTTATTGCTCACCTTTGTTTTGTTTTGTTTTGTTTTGGAAGCAAAGGCCAAAGGCAAAAGCTGACTACTGAAAAAAATCGGCAAACTCGAACCAGGGTCTTAACTAAGAGCCCAGCTGTTGCATAACTCCCAGAACTCCAGTCAATCAACCTCACTTGGGTGAGTAAGACCTTGGTAATTTCAGTAGTGAGTGGGTTCACTTTTTAAAATTCATTGTATTACGAAAAGAAAAAAAATCAGTTCTTAAGCAGCAGCATCGCCCACTGAAATTGACATGAACTGTAAGTGCTTAGCTCAAAGGTGTTTCCTTGCCCTCTCAAGAGAATTTAAAACTTTTCTCTTTACATACAAAATGTGAATTTGCTGGGTAGCATATTAATTTATGCTGAGAGCTGAAATATACCAAGTACTTTCAAATATTTCAAGTTAAAAAATAAAGGTAAGGATTTATATTTTTAAAGAAATATATGTTGCCATCTGGGTTTTTCATGTTGAATTATAAAGGAAAGAATATTTCAAAAATCTATAAGGATTATATGATTTCCAAGGGCAATATAGAATCTCAGCAGTTCTTACTACCCACTGTCCACTTCACACCTCAGCTGAACTTGACTCAGTCTGCAGAAATGTTTTACTCTGAAAAAGGAGATTCTGTAACAGGGTGCAGCCAAGAGGGGGGCCCCAAAAAGGGATTTGGAATGGGGTCCAGAACTCAAGGTGTCCAAGATATATTAGAAAGACATATAGGATATGCTCACCCCCTCCCCCCTACAGGTGTGAGTTGGGGGAAGGGACTCCTGGAGCAGGGCCATTGAGAGCTGTTTTGCATAGCAGCAGCTTTGCAGCTAACTCTGGCATGGTCATTTAACATATCTATAACCTTTAACTGGTTGCATAGATATGTTAAATAGCTGTGGTCATGCTTTAAACCAGGGAGATGGAATTGACTTCCACCCAAAATGTAACTGGGGGCAGGACCCCCAGGTTACAGCACCTACATGAGAGCTTGAAGATGATTGGCTCCATGCCACGGGGCCACCTCTGCCCGGACTCATGATGGCAGCCCAGTAAAGCTGGAAGGATACAGGAGTGCTGGCAATTATAGCCGACTATGGGAGGAGTTGGAAATGGGGCTGAAGAAGAGGATTGGCACGAGGATTTAAATCGAGAGGCGGCAGCCATTGAGGGGAGAACCACGCAGCCTTGGCAGAGTGGAGACCTCCTCGCAGCCTTGGTGAAGAGAGGGCCACGAGGCTGCCAGGAGCCTGAATCACGGACTTCTACTTCTTTTCCTGAGATACGGTACCCCAGATAAGGGCAGAGGGAGAAGGAAGGACCGCGTGCATCTGTGGGTATCCTAAAGGACTCTGATATTTTGATGAAGACATTGGGTCAGTACTTTAAGTCTGGATAGCTGTAAATAAACATTTCCTTTCCTTTTGACAAATCTCTGGCATTGAGAGATGTCTTTCCTCTTGTGGCAGACAATGTGAACCTAGTGGCGGATCCTTTTGGTAATAATATATTGTACCCTCTGCCGTTGGCCCCCTTGGTCCCTTGTTCGGTAACAATTCCATAGTTTACTTCGTAAACAGACCCTACCTTGGGGGGGGGGGAATCCTTCATTGAGAATGATATTTCTTCTCTTTATCTCTAAAATGAAAAGCCTAAATATTTTTTTAATCCTCACCCAAAGACATGCTGATTGATTTTTAGAGAGGAGGTTGATTTTTAGAGAGGAGGTTAAGGAAAGATGAGAGAAAGGGAAACATCAATGTGAGAGAGAACCATCAATTGGTTACCTCTCCCACACGACCCAGCTGGGGACCGAACCCACAACCTAGATTTGTGCCCTGACTGAGCGTTAGACCTGCAGCCTTTCAGTCTATGGATCCACATTCCAACCAACTGAGCCATATCAGCCAGTTTACATTATATCATAATGTAAAGAGCCTAAATTTACATTAAATCATATCTAATCTGATTTTGCAAATCATCATATCACTACCAATATTTTCTATTCTGGTGAGTGTTCAGAAGGCTAATTATTTTAATTTTTTAAATTTTAACACTTAATTATTTTTTTCCATCTCAGTGAAAACCTGTTGCTTCTCAATGTTTAGTCTGAGATTTATAGGCAGGGACCTTGGGAAGTGTCTGGCACTGGCTCAGAAAACTGACCTTAAGGACAGCCTTTGAAGGAATCCCGGCAACCAAATCTCTGGCAAGCTTTCATTCCTCATTTTCAAATACCCCAGTGACGAAGAACTCAGTATCTGGAAGGGAGATTCATTTCATTTTTAGAGAGTATAATGGTAAGGCAAGTCATTCTTATACTGAACCCAACTTTGCACAATTTCTATTCATTAATCCTAATTATAACTTCTGAGTACACATCAGTGGGGGTGGGGGGAAATGAAACATTGTTTTTCAATTGTATTTGAATAAAGTTCTCATGTCTTCTTGAAAATTCTCTAGGCCAAACAGTGCTGGCTCTGTCATTTTGCAGAGAGCATCATAGCAAACCCCCTCAGCATACCAGTCTCATTCCTCAGGAAGTATGTTCACAAACTGTGGCACTAGAAAATGAACACGATCTGCTGGACGTGGCTGAACCAGCACTGAATGGGAAGTTTCATTCTTATTTACCAATAATTCTTTAACTTTTGAGTGTATAAGAATTATCTAGGGAACATTAAAAATGGGAACTCTAAACCATCTATGTAATTCTGAGATACTCAAGTTGCTAGGGGCCCAGAATGCTGCATTAAAAAGAAAAAAAAAAAGCCAGGTTTTATGAGGATGTATTCCTCGGCATATACCTTGAGAAACACTTCCTTAGGGCAGTGATTTTCAACTGGTGTACCGAAAGAATTTAAAACATGCAATACCTAACTGTTTAGTCAGGGGTACTGACCTCTTTTCCCTTAGACTATCAAATTAAAAGAGAAATGCTAACAGCTAACACAACAATAGTTGTCCACTGTGAATGAATAAAAATTATACCTATTTTTGTCACATCAGTCAAAAATATAACATATATGTTGGTGTGCCACAGAATTTTAGTAATTAGTTGATGCAGACCATGAGATGATAAGGTTGTGAACTGCTGCCTAAGGGGATCGATTCTTTTTTTTTTCTAATCTGGCCTCAGATATTATTCCTTTTTCAAACTGCACTATAGGCTCATTTTAATATTACAATGAGCCTAAACAATAAGTTTTCTTATACAAATCCTTTCAGAGTCACCCATCCTGCTATTGTATAACTAAGTTTTAAGGCTACAGTTCATAAAAATGCATTTATCCCTATGTAGGGTTGCTAAAGAAAACACAGGAAGCTCAGCTAAATTTGAATTTTGGATAAACCACAAATAATTTCTTAGTGGGACATACTTATACTAAAAAATTATTCATTTTCTATCTGAAATTCAGATTTAACTTGATGTCCTGTATTTTTATTTACTAAATCTGATGTTATAACCTTATCAAACTTACTGTGGTTAGATTTGATTTTTCTAGTTTTGCCTGCTGAGGCCATTTTGGATTATAATTGTCTTCAAATATTTTTGGTCCTCACAAATACTGTTCCTGTTTCTATCAAGTTATACTCCCTGTTTATGTAAATTCCCAGAGACAGGCTCAGAGTTGATGTTTGCTCACCCTTTGTAAAACAAACAAACAAACATCCACGCACTGTATTCTACACAAGTAATTATGTACTTTCTTCACTATCTCCAACCTTCTCCAACATCCATGATGGCTACTTGGTTTTCAGCTAGAGCATAAATAAAAGCACACACAGCTTGAAATCAGGAAGCCTGAGTTCAGATACTGGCTTTTCCATTTATGAGTTGTTCAAACTCAGGCAATTAATAAACTTCTCTGAAACTCAATTTCCGCATTTGTAAAATGGAGGTTCTTAGTATCATTATGATATGTTAATAAGATGATGCAGAAAAAACCTCAAACCTCGTGCTTAATTATTGCTCAAAAAAATTCTTTATTCATCAATTTTTAACTACTCATGATAGCTTCAAGCTCAGTTGGGTGGAAATAAGCACATAGATCACTTTCCCATGTCTTCTAAAGTCATCAAAAGTAAGTAAATGAGGTGTCTGATGGGTAATAGTTTTACTGAGGTGATCAATTCATAATATATTTAAATGCTTAATCACTGCATTGTACCCCTGAAACTAATGTAATATTGTGAGTCAACTGCAACTGAAAAATAAATGTTTAAAAATTAGATGTAGTCATCATCATTTAAAAACATTGAGAAAATGAAAAAAGAGAGAGAAAGCCGTGAGATATACGTTACCAATGAATTACTGAAAAACAGAAAGCCACTACTCTGGGCATCTGAAAGAGAAATAAGGAAACATAGTCCATAATACACTCTTTTGTGAAGGGCCCCAGGAAAGGTGGAAAGATTCTGTGCATCTGCACCTAAGGCTGTGAACCAATAGAAAGTTGGCAGGAACAGAAGAAATGAGCAAAAACAGTATGTCTCACAACAGAGAAACCATGTGAATATTTACTTTCACTGACGATCTTCTGTAAATAGGTCACCATGAATTTATTATTGGTAAAACAACAATAGAAAAAACAATGTGGGTGCTGGCAGTCCAAAGTAAAGCTTTACTTGTTGTAATATTTTGTTTTGGGTGTCAGGAGGAGCTTGCAGCTGTCAGCAGGCTCTCTGCACACTTATCTTAAAGAGAAACAGGATATTTCTTCCATTCCCACATTTAAGGGGTTCCCAGTTAGTCTGGCCCACAAAAAGAAAAAGCCAGAAGTGTGTATGTGGACGTAAATTTTCTTGTATTGCAGCAGAGAAAATCCTACCCAGATCCCCAGTCTTTGAGTCTTAAAAAGGAGACAAATGTCAAGGAGGAACTTTGTCAAACAAGATAGAGAAGAAACAAACAAAAACTGAATCTAGAAAGAAAAACATAATTCAGAATAAAGGGACCTAAAAAGGAAAAATTCTGTAAGTTTGTGCACGCCTTTCATTTTTTTACATGTAGTTGTCCAGATCTCCCTACACCATCTGTTTAAAAGGTAATGTTTACTCCATTTTATGCTTCTGCTCCCTTTGGTGAATATTAATTGACCATAGAAACTTAGGTTTATTTCTGGACTCTCTATTCTGTTCCCTTGGTCTATGTGCCTGTTTTTATACCAGTACCAGGCTGTTTTGATTACAGTGGCCTTGTAATATAGTTTGATATCGGGTATCGTGATCCCTCCAACTTTGTTCTTCTTTCCCAAAATTGCTGTGGCTATTCAGGGTCATTTATGGTTTCATATAAACTTTTGAATTGCTTGTTCTATATCTGTGAAATATGTCATTGGTATTTTAATAGGGATTGCATTGAGTCTATAAATTGGTTTGGGTAATGAGGACATTTTCATGATGTTAATTCTTCTAATCTATGAACAGGCATATGCTTCCATTTGTTTGTGTCTTCCTTGATTTTTTTCTTCAGTGTTGTATTGCTTTCTGAGTACAAGTCTTTTACTTTCTTGGTTAGCCTTATTCCTAGGTACTTTAGTTTTCTTGTTGCTGTAGCAAATGAGACTTTTTCTCAATTTCTGATTCTGATACTTCACTGTTGATATACAAAAATGCCTTTGATTTCTGAATATTGATTTTGAATACTACTGTTTTGTCAAATTCATTTATTAGATAGTTTTTTTGGTGGAGTCTATAGGGTTTCAAAGTATATTTTCACTGATATGTCCCCTAGATCAAGGAACATAAAGGAAAGAATAAACAAAGAGGACTTCATCAAAATAAAAATCTTCTGAATGGCTAAGAAAACATCAACAAAATGAAAAGGAAACCACCTGTATGGGAAAATATATATGCCAATGATATCTCAAACATGGGTTTGATCTTCAAAATATAAAAAGAACTCACAAGACTCCACTCCAGGAAGACAAATAACCCAATTTTAAAAATGGGCGAAGGACCTGAACAGACACTTCTCCAAGGAGTACATACAGAGGGCCCAGAGACATGTGAAAGGATGCTCAGCATCACTAGCCTTCAGAGAGATGCCAATTAAAACCACAATGAGGGCCCTGGCTGGTGTAGCTCAGTGGACTGAGCGCAGGCCTGCAAACCACATGATCGCAGTTTGATTCCCAGTCAGGGCACATGCCTCGGTTGCAGGCCAGTTCCCAGCAGGGGACCCATGAGAGGCAACCACATATTGATGTTTCTCTCCTTCCCTTCCCCTCTAAAGATAAATAAATAAAATAAAATAAAAAAACACAATGAGATACTACTTCACAGCAGTCAGAATGGCCATCATTAATAAATCAACAAACAAGTGCTGGTGAGGATGTAGAGAAAAGGGAACTTCAGTATAATGTTGGTGGGAATGCAGACTGGTACAGCCACTGTGGAAAACAGTACGGAATTTCCTCACAAAACTAAAAATGGAACTGTTTTTGACCCAGCAATTCCACTGCTGGGATTATACCCTAAGAACCCTGAAACACCAATTCAAAAGAACCTATGTACCCCAATGTTCATAGCAGCACAACTTATAATAGCCAAGTGCTAGAAGCAACCTAAGTACCCATCAGTAAATGAGTGCATCAAAAAACTGTGGTGCATTTACACAATGGAATACTACACAGCAGAAAGAAAGAAGGAGCTTCTACCCTTTCATATACAGCAAAAATAGAATTTGAGGGCATTACGCTAAGTGAAATAAGCCAGGCAATGAAAGATAAATACCATATGATCTTACCATGAAGTGGAAACTAATCAACAAAACAAACAAGCAAGCAAAATATAACCAGAGACATTGAAATAAAGAACAAACTGACAGTTACCAGAGGGAAGGGGGAAGAGGGATAATGGAGGAAAATACAGGAAGAGCCATCAAGGAACATGCATAAAGGACCCATGGACAAAGCCAAATGGGGTAGGATCAAGGGTGGGGGGTGGGGATGGGTGGGGTGAGGAGAATGGTGTGGGAAAAATGGAGACAACTGTACTTGACAACAATAAAAAAATAAAGAAAGAAAACTTCAAATTGATAAAATTAGAGAGATTTGAGTTAAGTGTTCTATTTCTAAAATAGGAACAGAATTCTATGAAAAAAATCACAATGAGGACAGGAGAAAAATTTTATATCACTGGTAAAACTGAAAAAAATACACCAATAAAAGTGACAGAAAATAAAATGTAAAAAATCCTGAATGTGGACCAACATAATAGAAATACAACATAAAAGAACATATGCAGCCTAGAGGACAAATGGAGCCATAACGATCCAATAATACATCTCATTATAAATGGAGGAAAAATAATGAGGAAGAAATTGTAAAGGCATAATAGAAAAAGAATTCCCCAATTCTAAAAAGTCACTTGTCTTCAGATAAAAGAATTGGGGTGGGGATTGTCTTTGGGAGCAGGGGTTGGATAGGGCAGGGGAGAGCAGTGGGGTGGGGGGCAGGGAATGGGGATAATTGTAACTAAACAACAATAAAAAGTAAATAAAAAATAAAAAAGATAATTTAATGAGTATAAAGCAAAAAGAAAAACCCACATCAAGATACTGTCTTATACATTTTCACAACAGTGAAGTTAAAATTCTTAAATACATTTGTAAGAGGTGGGAGTGGTAACCAATCAAAGAGCATGAGTAAAACTACTATCAGACACCTTATCAGCAACACTGAGAAAGGAGGCAGTGGGGAAATACTTTTAAAACCTAATGGAAAATTACCTGGGACTCAAATTATGAACTAAATATGAAAACATGTTTTCAAAGGTTACGAGATCTATAAATTTTACCTCCCACAGACACTTCTCTGAAATGCCTTGCAAATCTAAACCAGCAAAAGCAGATGTGGGAAAAAACCACACACAGAAAAAAATATATTGTGGGATTCGGGAACCAATGGGTCCAAACCAAAAGAAGGTAAGAGTCAAGTCCCAGGACAAGATCAAGATGAGTATAGAGCATATGTAGAAAGAAAATGGTTTAGATTGGATAATTAAGGAAAGGCATGTAATTATAAACCTAAAGGCAAAAAAACCCTCAGTTAAGTGAATAGTGATCTGATTAAAAAACAAACTAATAATAAGAACAAATACTTGTATAAAGCTAACTACATAACAAACACTTTTTAATAATTTTGTGTATACTGATTAATTATCCCTCACAAATAAATGAATACCATCCATATTTTTGAGATAAACTGAAGCATAAACAGTTTGACTTGACAAAGTCCCAAGCTAACATATGGGCAAGGCTGGGCCTCGGCCGCAGCAACCTGACTCTAGATTTTATGCTGCTAACCACTGTAGTCTATTTCCCATTTAAAGTGGATGATGTCTCTGTTGATTTTTAACTGATTATTTCTGTAAAATGGGGATATATTTTTAAGTCAGTGAAAAGGAGATTCTCCTGAGAAAAAGATTAAGATGGAAGAGGGCAGAGTTCAGAGGCTAGTTCAAGTTGCTTTATTATGTCAAGAGAAAGGGGAGATAGAGTGCACAGAATTGAAGGTAAGTTTTTTGTATGTTTTCCAGATGATAGTATGTCTATCTGATTGCTAGATTTTCCTTTGTAAAGTGAGAAATGAGGTCATTGGCCAGGAATGTAGGACCAAACGTGCGCTCAGAGATTTACAGAAACTAGGAAGACTTTCAAATAATTCTTGTGCAGAGTGGAGTAATGGTTGACTAAAAGAATCTAGTAGGATTGCCAAGCAGCACGGCCGGTTACTAATCCTGAATTTCAAGTAGGTCTACTCTTCCCTGATCTGTGGCTTTCTCCAGAAGCACTCAACACATTGTATGCAAACAGAAAAGAAGGAGATAACTGGGTCTTCTGAGGTGAGTTTTTGGTCAGACCAGTTGGAATTTTAAAAAAAGAGAGAAAGAGAAAGAGGGGCAAAAGGGCTGTGGGTATTCACAAGAATTGCCAAAAAGATGCAGCATTAAACAAAAGCAAGATTATCAGAGAAGTGGAAAGAGAAGGCTAATGGAGAAGAAATAGAAAGGTCAATGAGTAGAAGCCTCAGCAAGGTACAGGAAATGGTATGGTGGAAGTGGTTTAACAAGTTAGCAAAAGATAAAGAAAATTTCTGGTCTAAAATCACTGCTTTAATTATGACTTTGGAGGTGTTTACAGTTATGTTTAACAGCAAGCCTGCCAGTGTGACTTGGGATTGGCAAATAGGGCAAAAGTAGACACGGGTGAGAGAGTCAAGGATGGATTAGTGTCCATAGGTACATGTTACCTACACTGATTAGGCCTTGGTAAAAAAGACTCTAAGTCATGTGCAAAATCTTTGGGTTTTGAGGTTTAGAAAATAGATAATAGCAATAGAGAGAAAAAGATGGTAATTCAGGTGAAGTGTTTTGTGCTTTAAAAACAACAGTTTGTTGTTGTTGCTTGGTTTTCTTTTTACAGAGGGAGAAGAAAGAAGTTGTCATGTGAAGCCATCGGTGGGGTGCTAGGAGAAAGCCAGTGCCTTGCCTTGTTGTCTGAAGTCCAGGAAGTGTGAGAAAATACACAGCAACTATTCATGCACAGTAGGGGACATTATGGTCCCAGGTGAGAACCAGGTAATAATGCAAAAAGCTAGAAAGAACAGGAGAAGAAATTTGAAGACATGATACATTGGCATTAAAAAAGGCTTTGGGTGGTGGGTAGAAGTTGCAAAGCTGGCACCAAGGAAGTGACAACTACTAAGGGTGGAAGAATATGACCAGGGCTTCACTTAAGGCATTGAACAATGAAGACAAGGAAGAGAAGTATGGTGGGCTTTGATCATATCAGACTGATTTGGGTGGGCCCTGAGCTTGGTATGTCTTTAAGTCACAGAAAAAAGAAATGTACTTTCACCTACAATGCTTTGAATTGGCATGACTTCTAAATTAGTGAAGTGTTAATTTATGAGATTCTATAATGATCAAGATAAAGTAAAATAATCATGGAGCAAAGGGACATAAGAAAAAAAGCAACTAAAAATACAAAGCCAATTGAAGAAATCAGTAAAACAAAGTATTCAAGCAAAAGAAAAAGGAAAACATCAAAATATGAGTATTTAAGAGAAGTATGGGGCTCTCTATTAAACTGAGAACAGAAAGTATTTTATTACTTTAATGACAACAGAAAACTAATGGGAAAGTCAAAGGTAATGCTCAATAATATCAATCCACACTTTATTTGTGGGTGAAGGGGATGATAATGTATACCCATGGTGTTTTTATTTTATTTGAAATTTCATAAAATAGTATCAGCTATTTAAATTTAAGACAGTGCATAAAGAGAATTGGGGAAACAATGATTTGTTGGAAATACATCTTACAGGAAACTCAAAGTCAAAGGTGATGCAAAATTTAGAAAGTCTGAAAAAATAAGACTCAAGAAACTATACAGGATGGAGCTAAAAGGTATTTGTGTGGAGAGTACTTTTCTATAATAGCTCTATTTTATCAGCATTATGCTTAGGAAAATTAGCAAACATCCAAACATTAGTACCAGAAAAACAATCATCAGATGCAGCAGGAGCCATTGTGGTATTTGCAAAGACCCATAAATATCCCCAAGTGCTATTAGTATGACAGTGTAGGGGATGAGCACAGGTTATTCTGACGAATAGATGCATATTCCAGACACACTGAATTGGTTTCAAAATATATCATCCAGGGACATCAGATGACATTGGAGACAGGGAAGCTCAGAGCAATATACAGCAAATCATAAGAATGATGGAGTGTAATTAAAGCTGATGGTCAAAGGTGTCAAAGGGCACAGAGGGTTCAGCAGGACCAGGGAAAGGCAATAACGACAACATTGCTTTCGAGATGCACATAGGTCACTTCAGACAATGCAAGGACACAGAGAGAGCAAGACTCAAATTATGATGCATGGCAAATCAATTTTGAGCTGTGCAATAATGGAGATAAACTGCCTGAAACAAGATTTATAATTATCAGCAATGCCAACAGCAAACTGTAGCAATTGTTAGGACTTTATCTTTTTATCTTGAGAGAAGTAAGAATTTGTAAATATACACTAAATAAAAACAATAAAAAATCATATGTATATGTGTAAACACATATATACACACACATAGAGAGAGAGAAAGAGAGATTGAAACTACCATCAAGTCCCCTTCAATCAGCATTAGTGAAGGCCAACTGCATGCCAGGCATTGCTGACACAAAGGCAAATATGAGACACTGAGGGGTCTGCAGTAGAGACAGGGAGAGAGACCATGAAAATATCAAGTTATTTTATAATGTACAAGTAACTGTGTGTGTTAGGTGCAGAGTAGTCACATGCTATCATGGAAGGGTTATGGTCAGGGAGTTTTTCCATGAACATTTGGTATTTTTAAAAACAGAAAAATGAGGACTTCTAACAGAAGAAAAGGCAGGTGAAAAGGAAGGTCATGGAGTGACATGTGTACTGTGATCAGGGCCCTCCTCGGTATTTTTGTCTTGGTGTCTTGATGGAGGAGAAAGTTCAAAGAGGCAGTAGTGAAGTAGGAGGTTAAGACAGGAAAAGCAGGTCGGAGTCAGTCATGGGCAACCTTGTGTGTCAGGCGGAGAGGAGAGACTCTGTCTTCAAGCAATGGAGTCAGTGAAGAGACACATTCTGGAGAGCTCTGTGTTTTGAGGGATCATTCTTATGGCAGTGTAGCTGGCGGACTGAACAGAAGCAAGACTAGAGCGAGCTACCTCACCAGCTGGGAATGGGGAACACTGGAAGTAAGAAGTGCTCCTCAAGTTTCTCCTCTGATATTATAATATGAAGAGCTACAAACTATTAATTACTGCCTGTATGCAAACTGCTCTGCCTGCAGTCTCTCATTCACTCTTCATAACAATCAATCGTCTCCATGTTACAGACCTAAAGTTCTCGATGAAGCCTGAAGAAGTAAACAACTTGCCAGATTCCATCGGTCTCAGCACCGGAGAGGCTCTAAAACTCACCGTCTTTAAACCACATGTGCTTAAGAGAATATTCTTCCTGAAAAATATGTAAAACTGTAAATTAATCTGAAAGTCTGTAAATAAATTTAATTTGGTGGGGAAAGCAGCCCATACCTCTTTCCATAATTTCCATCTTATGTCTCAGGCTGGACCACAAACCATTTCTTGCTGAAATAGTGTCTTGAGTTGACCCTTTCTAGGCTAGAGGCTCCAAAGTGCAGGATGTCATTTATCTCTTGATCATCAGTTCTCAGCAAGTGCCTGACACATAGAAGACACAATTATTGGTTGAATGAACAAAGGGATCTTTTCTAAATGGTTGTTTATCCCTGTAAAAGGACATTTGCAATGGTGGAATATTAGTTAAGGTAGTGATTTTAGTTCTCAAGAGTTAATGTCCCCTCATCAAAGGATAGATAGGCTTTCCCTAGAGAAAAATAGCAGATGCTACCTCCATTGAAGGAGATTGATGACCAAACTTTTACCTAGTGAGTGATAAAGAAATAAACTAGTACAAATCTTTATTCATTAATCTTTTATACCTAGTATAATCATTAAATACGCTCAAAATCAAAGAGTGCTACATAAATGCATTTAAAGACCAAGATACTTTTAAATGCTTAAGTAAAGGTTAATTTTTATACTTTGCTTACTCTAACATACAGCTTCATGTAATCATCATGGTTTTTCCCATCCATTTCTAAAAAGCATACTTCTTAACCAGGTGTGAAGTTGGATTTTAAGGGTCATATTCCTTCCAGTGCTCACATGCGTTTTAAGGAGCCCGAGTCATGGGACAGTAGACCAACTTGTTATCTCAGGCCACACCAGCTTGTCACACCTGTTAAGGTTTCCACATCACCCACCCTAGATCTCTTCAGCAATTGAGGCCACCTGTGCTAATTAAATGGTTTGTCTCTCAGTGAACACATCCTTATCATTCTAGAATGTGTTTTCTCTTTCTGGCTCTACTCACTACTAGCGACCCAGGCGGGCAGGAAGCAATTAGGGTAACTAGAAACCACTCTTATCTCCAGTCTAGAAGACCCCTCTACACCTGACTGCCTCAAGGGATTTTCTGTACTTGCTGCCTCTTTTTTGTTTGTTTGTTTTTCTTTTTGAGGCACCTCTCTCCACGTTTTTCTCTTTCCTGATCCAATCTTTATTTTACAAGCAATGCCTTTTCTTATTAGCTCCCTTATAATCTTTAAGTTTTTACTTATTCAGTGAAAAGAACTATGTCATTTACAAAGAATAGAAGTTTTTAAAACCAAACCTAGAAAGGATTTAAAGCATATATTTTTCATGGATTTTTCTCATAATCATTGGGTAAATAAGATTCCCATCTTTTCCTCAGTAAAGCAGTTACATTTCAAATGAGTTCAACTGCATTTCTATTTTTCAATTTGGTTTATTTATACTAAAACAATAATAGTTAAAACAGTTAACCCATCAACTACATTTCTAAATATATTTTCCCAGCTGACTGATAGAGGGAGATCAGTATCACTCTAAAGAAAAGTTGAGAGTCCTAAAATAGGAGGCTTCCATTGCTAGAATGCTGCTTACTCAACAGATCAAGGGATCTCAGTATTCCTTAAGAATCTGCATTGTAAATAATGCAGCAAGAGCATAGCAAGAAATCATAGCTTTTCATTTTGGCTTCTTGTCCCTCTCCATATACAAAAATAGATGGTAGTGGAACAAAGGGATGGAAATAATGTCTGATAATGACAAGCCTAATAACAAAGAGAGACTCCAAATCCTACTGTCAAGAGAAGAGCATTATTTGTTCATCACCCTTGCAGGGCATTCTTGCCACTACTGCTTCTGATTGTCATTGTCTTATGTTTTCTACTACTCACCTCATACCCATTCCAAACACTGACATTTAGTGAGCAATGTTCATGCCCTAGGGACTCTAAATACCCTAGACTAAATGACAGCTCACTATAGGAACACTTTCTTTATGCAACCAATCAATAGAAACAGATCTGTACAACTTCCAGGAGCCCCAGGCTTTCTGTCTTGTCCCCCCTCTACTCTTCAGCTTCCAGGCTACTTCTTTGCAATTCTCTCCCCAGATGGCTGAGTGCTCTGAGAAATCACTGATGAAACCATGTCCCCTCCACCTTACAAAGAAAGCAACAATTAACATCCTCAATGCCGGCATTCAAATGATCACTGTGATCCAACATTCAAAACATGACATTCGAAATCAGAAAACCTATATGTTTAGTTCGGTCCTGGTGCTCATCCCTGCTTGCGCATTAGAATCATCAGGGACTCTAAAAGGAAATAACAATTCTAAGCCACTTCCAGAGATTTTGATTTAATTCCTTTATGGTGTGTCCTGGACATGGGCATTATTGAATGGCTTTCCTAATTATTCTAATGTGTAGCACCACTGGGGACATGTGCATGCACACACATGCACACACACATGCTTGTACATCTGTGAGACTTGAGGACAGGTACTTCTTTGAGTCTCAGGTTTTTTACTTTCAAAATAGGGGTTATAATTTCTTACTTGTCATTACAAAATACAGGATGATTAAACATGATACATACTGTATGGGAGCACTTTGTTAAATGTACATCACTGAATTTAAAATATTTTTATAATAATAATTTCGGGTAATTTGTTGACATATTACCTCTTGTTCATTCTTTATTCTATTGCTATTTTTCTTCCAATCCCAACAAGCTGTAAGGACTTTGAGTCTCCCTGCCTTGCACGTATGTGTGTGTGATTGTTTAGGGACAAAACAGAAGTTTCAAGGAATTTGGATGCCTTTCCAGCCAAGCTTCTTGGAAGGTCCTGGATTCCTAAAGAAGCAGGAGGTCAGGGAGCTCAGGTGTTCAAATATAGCTTCCTCACACATGGGTAGTGGGAGACTGTGAAGCCCAATGCCCACACAATGGAAGAAGGGTCAGAAATGAGGGCCAGATAGTGAAGTAATACCTCCCAAGCCTGTGTAGGATTGTGTTAGAGCAATGCTCACGGCCCCACACCTCAGTGATGCAAAGAGGCCCACCTGTAGGATAGAAGCCAGGGAATGTGACCCTGAGAATTATAGCCTCCAGAGCTTGCTTGGCTGGGCACTGGAGAAGCAGAACTCACCACTCCAAGGTACACACTCACTTCACTGTAATTAAAATTCACATTTCTACCAGCTTGAAAGAATCCTTGAGCAAATTTTTTGAGTTATAGAAATAAATAAATTTAACTATTTATTATGCAATGTTGATATTATTTTATAAAAAAATAGAGCTAATAGTTATTCATGTAACAAATGTTTAACAAGACCCACTAGGTACCTCATAGCTACTGTAGTAGTTTCTAGGGATAGCCTTTAAAATCAACAAAATAGGTTAGGAATAATAATAATAAAATTGGTAGTAACATTAATACATTTGTCCTCTCCACTCAAAGGAGTAAAGCTCAAGGGAGGTAGTGTGTTTGAAAGTCAACATCTGCACTGCAACCAGAATTAATTAAGAGACTATGGCTCTGCCACAGCCAAATACAGGCAAGTAGGGCAGAACCAAATTCAGTAACTTTAATATAGCTATAAAATGAGTTCAAGGAAAATTCAGAATACTAAATAGTAAATGCCTCCAGTATTAATCATTATTTGATACCAGACTGTGGGTAAAATAGCCTGGGTGGGGACTTCAAGTTTAAATCAGAGCTAAGAACCAGAAGAGTTGCAAATTGAAGTCAAAGTGATACCCATCCCACTTGTAGGGTCTGGACTTGGAGCCCAGTTTGACTAACAGACTATGAAAGAAAGTTCAATCTGCCTCTTATAGTTTGGAGGAAAGTTGCCCTGGTTATCTATCACTCCAGATCTCATACTCCAGCCAAAAATCTCTGAAGGCACAAGTTTGGCCTTTTAATGATGTGATCCAATTTAGTTGGAATAGAAAATTGTTTCCATAAAGAATAAATAGGTGGCTATAAATAACCCAGAAAGGCTTGGAATTAAGTTTATTGATGACATAAATCAGATTTATTATATGAAGACTTGTGTTAAGTTTGAAAAGAACAATCTGTATATTTGATATTTAGAGTACTTATAATGTTTAAGAAAATTTAACATCCTAGAGAATTCAAAAGATTACTTTGGGATTACAATTTTTAAATGTAATTGAGTAACTGATTTAGACTTGGAATTTTAAGATAAAAATTAAAAATAATTTTACCAAGTCTTAAACTAATATTAAAATATGTAAAGCTGGTAAAGTCACCATGATTTCTAGGATAAATATTAAGTTTGTCAATGTGTATTGTTTTATACTCTTCACCTTTGCCCCCATTAGGTATAGAAAATATTTGGCATTTAAGGAGAAACACTAAAGCATTTCTAATATAAAATGGGAATATTCATCCTCTTTCTCCAGGTAATGTTTTACAGTCAACATATTTGGTCTTTTTTAGGGTTTTAGACACAAAATAATTGAGAAATGTCATTAGACTAATTTTCTAACTATGCAAATGAAGAAACAGACAGAGAAGTTAAGTTACTTTCTCAAACTACAGAACTATTTAGTAACAAAACTAGCAAAAGTTTTCATGACTCCCCAGATGAGTGTTTTCTGTACAGTATCACCAGCTTGGCTTGTTGCTTAGTGGGATCATACTGTTTCCTGCGATGTATCATTGCTAGTGTCTCAGTATAAACACAAAAGATCGTTCTTATTTTTCCAGCCAAAGAGAAAGTATATACCTTATTCCAGTTTCTACAGCTGAGAATATTCCTCTTCCTGTTTATGGTAATTCTCTCCTGTGTACATAGTAAGAAGACTGTTACCCTCATCAAACTCTACCTGTTTCTTTCCTGAAAGCATTAGAAAACCACACTGGTCTGAAATATGTATTGTTTTGGCTACAGTTTATCCATCATTCAAAAATATTTTCTCACCCTGGCTAGTGTGGCTCAGTTGGTTGGAGCATCATCCATAGACCAAAAGGTCATGGGTTCAATTTTTCGTCGGGCACAGAAGAGAAAGCAATTGATGTTTCTTTCTCACAATGATATTTCTCTCTCTCTCTCCCCCCACCTTCCCTCTCTTCTTCTGTCTCTAAAA